AATGTTTTGATAGGTATAAATTTATCGATGGCCTCCGATAGCTTACAATTAAAGAAAGAGGCAGCATCGTTGGAGCTACGATTAGAAAGTTCTGCTACCCAGTCAGTACGTGATAGAAATTCATTTATAGGTTCATAGTCTACATTCTTAAAATCCCGAAACGTTCTAGGTTTATCGATACCCCGTGGACGTTCTAACATATAATTTATATCTAAAGGTGGGTGGTATGGATCAGAAATCACTAATGATAGGCTTGACTTATATACTGAAAGGTCACTCAAATTTGAAAAGACTAAGTCCAGTAGGCTACCATGGGCATTGGAAAGAGAGTTGACCTGGAAGAAGTTTAGGAAAGAGAACGAGTCACCAATTAGCGCGGATGCACGTGTGGAGCTCCCCAATATTTTGAGACCAATGTTATCACGTGACCAAACGATGCCTGGCATGTTGTAATCGCCACAAATAATTGTGCTACAGGGGGAGTACACAGATACTAGTTGTTCAACAGTATGTGAGTGTTGTTCATACACGTCAGCAGAAGAGTTAGGAGGTAGGTAAATAGCACCGATTAAAAATTTAGTTTTTAAAAATGATAGAGCTACAAAAACTTGCTCTACGTTAAGGCAATTGTTGACGATTAAGGAAGCATTAAGGCTAGATTTGACCGCAATAAGGACTCCACCACCACGGGTGGATGAACTTGAGTATGAATTTCTGTCAAATCTGAAAATATGGAACCCAACGAAACCTAGTTCAGCGTTACCTATGTCTGGCGTGAGCCAAGTTTCAGTTAATATGATTATATCATAAGAATCAAATAAAATAAAGTTGCACCTGAGAGTGTTAAGTTTCGTTCTAAGGCCACGTACATTCTGATAGTAGGTTTTAAGGGGATTACAAACAATATTAGAATCTGGAGACGCACATTTTTTTTTTAAAACATCATTAGTATCAGCATTGATTAAGAGATTATGTGTAGAATACTTATTAACAAAACTATTAAATTCAGTTAAAAAATTATCAGAAGACGCCAAGGCGTTTTTACAGGTAGTACAGTTTAAATGGTAAGAGGCATGCATGTTGGCTGTTGAGTAAAGTGAAGTTGAAGTAGATTTGCTATTTGCTGGCCCTACCGTTGGCCAGCTGCGCCGTTTTTTGGCTGCATCCTTGTAACTGATGGGACACCGTTAATATACTTCACCACAAGATTTAATTCACCAGCCTGCTTTCTACGCTCAAGCTCAGCATGGGATGAGCGGAGAAGTTGACGTTCTAAAGATGTTTTATCCCGAACTAGCCGGAGACTATTTGAAATATTACAGCCATTTCGGATTGATTGTCTGAACTTTAGCAAAAGGTTGGCTGCTTCATCTTTAGATTTAAATATAAGTTTTAACGGTCGTGGCTTCTTAGAAAGATGACCGCCAAGACGAACTACTTTGATATCTGTAGGTAAGGTAGTATTGATGGAGGACAAGGCCTTGGAGAGTTCAGTAGTATCATCAATAATTCGCTGATTGGGAGAAGAAGAACTTGATTCAGGAACATCATATGCAATAACGCTTAAATCACACGAATTTCTTTCTGAGATTTCACGTAGGACTTTGGTCGGCAAGTCATCATTGGCAGGAACTATATGGTCAGTTTCAAGTATAGCAATACGAGCTGCAAGTGAGGAGACTTCATTGCGGAGTACCAGGTTATCACTTTTTAAATCTGCTAACTGTTTAGTTACCGATGCCAAGCTCACCTGAAGTTCGCGAAATTGTGAAGATTGTGATGCTTGCATTCCGGTAATGGCTTGCATAAGATCACCATTTGTAGGGGTACCAGAACGGGTAGCCGGTTTAGAGCCAGTTGTTATCATGGGCGATTTTGATTTATTGGTAGTAGACATAATCAGAGAAATATAGTATTTGGAAATTATCTGTGCTCCTTAAAATATGCGAAACGCAACTCAACAAACAATCAAGGTAGAAGAGGCAAAGGTAAACGCTAGGAAGAAAGCGTGAGTTGTTGAGCGTACCTTATTTTTGTCACCACGAACGACAAGGCTGTCTAAACAGCTGATTCGCAATAACAAGATCGCAAACAGAGATTGATAAAAAAAATGTACAAACTCACGTGTAACTGAGGGCGGCGAAAACTCAAACGGACGTAGTAATGGTACTGGACCACAAGTTAAATCGCAAATAGGTACGCACGAAAACTGTAGCACGACGAGTAAAACTAATACGACGCTCGAAAAACTAAGACAGTAGATAAATTAACCCGGATAAATATAAAATGAGATCACACTATCACTGACTTATCACCAGGGTCATATGAAGCAACTATGAATGCTTAATTTTACAATTCATATTATAATTCAAAATATAATGCATATTATGTTTTTTGAAAAAACGAAAAAATAAAAATGAATAATTCCCATTATAATATGTCACACTGGTTGATCTAGCAACTGACAGATGAACTATGAAATTTTTTTTTATCATAATCCGCTTTTGAAAACTTCCAGAAAAGAGTACGTTTTTAGACAGTGAGTCTTGATTAAAATTAATCAATAATAATAATTATAGTAAAATATATTATAATGCATAATATAAAATATGAATACAAATAATATATTGTTTTAAATACTTCGCACAAACCTATGGTGTTACCCGGCGTATAGTATATGCAAAAAAAGTACACATTATACATTGCTTGGTGCGTTGGTGAAATTAAGTTGGCGTTTGGATTGTTTGGGCTCGCATATTTATTATACATTGTGCTTTTGGGAATAAAAATATATGCTTCCACAGTTCCACGTCACACAGTTAACATTTTAAGTATTGGAAATAAGGACCATTAATTTATTATCGTTATCTATTCTATGTGATGGCCTCGACGAAAAATAAACGACACAACGAAGCTCCGATTGTTTTGGGCTAGTGTATTTTAAGCATTATGAGCTCGGGATCAAAATATGTCTACGTCGCTTGGCCAGGGGCGTCCCTAAAGGGGAGGGGCGAAGTAGGCGACCGCCACCTTCATAAGTCGTGAGATGTTCTGTTTTTGCTAATAGATAAATAAATTTTATAAATTTCCAAAATGGAATAGTACCTACTGGTTTTTTTTAAATTATTAATTAGACCGTTCGCAATAGGTTAAAGGTTTGATAAAATAATAAATCATAACAGTTCTCATAAGTCTTCAATAGGTTACTATTTTAGCAATATATATATAGGTACCGTTTTCGTCGATGGGAAACTATATGATCTTGTTAATAAATTATGTTTTTTATTCCCTATACTGAACTGTAAAATAAATCTGTTGAAGTATGAATAATATCATAATAAATTGCATGGATAGTAGGTGCTTTCATTATTGATATACAATTGTATTTTATTTTTATTTTTTAGTCTTGTAGCGTTGTTGCGCACTGGCTATTGTGTAACTATAGTGTTGAACTAATAAATATTATCTAATATGTGACATTCGGTTTAATTTGGCACGAGGCTACATACGGCAACGATTACATCCCTCCCATCAGATCACCTCGCGACCGGTTCGCTCACAACCGCGGGCTTCTGCACTCTGCAGTGTTAATGTCCTTATGTCATTGCTCAATTATTTTTATGTATTTTTTTTATTTTAACCACCACTTAAACGTGACGATTATTCTGTGGTTTCTGGGCCGTTCTGGAATGACCTGTGCCATAATATTTAACTGTTAATATTACCTACATTATTACCTGTTTCATTTTCATGCCGATGACCGTTTTATGTATTTTTTTGATTTATTGATGTTATACGCTTATACATATTTTTTTTCTAACCACTGTCTGGTACCCTGGTCAATAATAATATAATTTATGCAATATGCATAAATTATGCAGCTGTATTAATTTGTATAATTTTATCAACATTTTAATTTTTGTGGTAGATGATATAAAAAGCGAATGATGTACTTACTGCATGATCAAGTTTGTTTGAGTGTAAATTCGGTTCGATACAAATCTAAAATGTAATAGATACCTTGAAGAATATTTAAATTACGGTTTTATCTAGTTTTGATAGATTGACAGATTTTTATTTTGTATGTAGGTACCAACTGTTGTCTTTTAAGTACAGTTAAAATTTAACAAATCAACTAATAGTTAATTGATAGAATCGTTGTATCGTTTCTATTCTCGTGACTAACATATTTGTCTAGATTTTTGATTTCTATATAGAATATAAAAATCATAACAATTTAACATTAGATATTTTACACGAGTTCCGAAAAATATTTGACACAAGTGGAACAATAGTTTTCTACAACACATTATAATGATGAACTCGAATTTATTTTCAAATCTTTTTTATACAATTTAATTGAGTAATAGGTAGGTACATTTGGAACAAAATACGGTATATATTATTTATCAGTAAAAAATTAAAAAAAAAAGATACCTAATAAATAATGATACCTAGTAAGTAATAATAATAAAAGTAATGCGTGATACTTTATCTGACCAGATTGCAGTACTTACATACAATTTGAAGGAAACAAAAAGAGAAAAATAATTTACTGGTTAAAAACTGCAAAGGTATTTAAAATATTATATGATAATTATAACTCAAATAATAATATACATTTTCTCAAAGGCATAGCTATTAGCTCAAAATTTACAAACATGTATAACCTAATTCTATAAGTACCTATACCTAATGGCTAATTAAGTAATATTTATTAAAGTGTATAATTTTAAATATTTAATTTTTAAAATCATAATTAAAATATTAATATTAATAATTTTGACTCTAGTCATAATACATCACCTTTTCCGCTATTAAATGTAAATAATTATGACAAATAAGTATTTTTATAGGAAACTTTTTTTGCATAGGATTTTGTACTTTTTACTTTGTTATTATTATTTTCGATATTTTGGCCTGGACCCGCTTGAAGATTTTCCAATATTTATAGTTCTTCAATGATTCATTTATGCAGTAGTTGTTATTGTATAATAGTATCAGCTTGGTAGCATATACTTGAGAGTCTCTTGGCTGGCACTTGCAGTGAACTTGGTTTCCGGCTCCTTAGTTGATTCAGTCCTGTGACCGGAAGTGGACCCCTGACAATGCACGCTGTTGTCATCGGATTCAAGCGTGAAGATAGTTGTATTTTCTTCCTTGTATTCGGTTTTCAAACGGTTTTCGAAGCCAACACTACCGTTTTTGTTCAAATGCGACCCAACCCATCCCTTCTTCATGCCATAATTCCGGACCAGCTTTCTGCTCTTACTTTTCGTCAGCAACTTCATCAGTTCCTTTTTAAATCTCGGGTGCGTGATGGCATAAAACCACGGGTCCGTGCAACTAGCAGCTTTGCAAAACAAAGCCGGGATCATCGAGCTTAACGGTGAGATGTACTCCTTAAGGTCGAATACACCCAGCAGTGCCACCACGGCGTATGGCGTCCACGACACAAACCACAGCGCCAGAGCCCCGATCACCATGTACCCCAGTCGTATATCCGTTTTCCTCTTCTCTTCTTGTTGGCCAACCCTGCTGGTGACTATTTCGGTGGTCATCCACACCGCCATCAGTATGTTCACGTAACAGTACAGTATTATTGTGAACGGTATGCACCACGCCGCCGTAAAGAATACTAGGATAAACCTCTTGTCTTGGTCGTCGTCCGATAGGTAGTCGAAGCTACAACTTGTCAGGTATCCTTCCGACACGTACCGACTGTACCCCAAATCTAGTACCGGTACGATGGAGAACGAAAATCCGTAAATCCATATCAGACCTATCCATATCCTGGCCCTTTGTTTAGTGGTTTTCACAGCTGCTTTCAGAGGGCACACTATAACATAATACCGGTCCAAGGATATGGCTGCCAACGTCATAATTGACACGGTCCCGGTCAAGCCACCAAGAAATCCACATACCTGGCATCCTAATTTTATATACAAAATATATTACTAAAGTAGCTTCAAGTCGTTGTAAATGCCATAATAATGTCAAATATACCCAATTTTCCTAGCGCAGGTCCCAGGTAATAACTGTTGTAGATGAATATCGAGGCTTTTGCTAACATAATAAAATCGCTAACAGCCAAGTTAATTATCAACATGTTCGCCGGTGTTTGCAAAGATTTACATCTGAAAAAAAGTAGATATATATTAAAATATTTATCACATTTATTTATATTTGCTCGTGCATTTGCTATTACATGCGGTAGGTGATTGTTGAATCATTGAATACATTATTATTTTTAGTGTGAGTAATCGTACTATTTATATTTTAGTACGATACATACAAAATATTAATGAAATAATCAATACTTCTTATTACCTACTGAATTGTACCTACTGTATGTTAACTACTAACTACCTAGTAAAATACCAAAATATAATTAAATTATTATTTTTGTTTTCAGTTGAGTACCTATTTGAAATATATTCATTAGCCAGTGAAGTGATAGTTCTCATCTGATTTTTGTCTATAAGATATTATATTGGAATAATCAGAATACATTTCAAAAGTTAAATTACTATGGAAAATGTGTATTAAAATAAGCACAAATCAGTATTATCTATAGAAATTCACAAATTTCATCTGGTAAAAATAAAATATAGTTTTTATAAGAACGCGTATGTTGTAGGTATACAAAGTGAGTACCGTGCAAATTAAATTAGGTATACGTAGATGTGAAAACTGATTACCTACCCCATTTAATAATATGATATTGTTGTAATATCGAAAATATATACTTACTTAAAGTACATAAAAATCACCAGAGAATTTCCGGTGCATCCAAACACCATAATGATGGTGTACAGAAGTCCGAGAACGTAGTGCGACATTGGATTGGGAGGCATGAATTTTAACCAATGGCTATTGATTAGTTTAATATAATCATCTGTGTACAACCCGTGATCCTTCCACAAGTTAACAGGATATTTGGTCTTGAAGTCTATCATGACTATATGAACTTTGATTAAACAGTATAGGATTTTGGTCAACGTTGCTTGTCCTTTCGGTCGAGTTTTGATTAAGCCGTTATCGCGTTATGTGGTATTTCAATATAAAAGTTTTGAATTAGACAGCAGCAACGATAAAAGGCCAATTTTTGGCCGTATCAAACACGACGTAAATAAAATCTTTTAGACATACAAAATATTGATAGACTGACAAAATTAAACGGGTTTGATTTTCTTTACAAGTTTTTGGAAGGTTTTTCTGTGTTGAGGAACTTGAGAATAGATGATTGGCTTAGTGTAGATGACAAGGTTTCAAGATTCATTTCAAGCTTGTTAAATTTGAAAAATCTTGTCGTGGCGAGTGTTGACCATACCTACAAAGTTTTAGTTTGTCACTTTATAATTCGCATCGATACATGTAGTGTATATAACTACTGTATAGGTAGGTACTGAAAACAAAATCATATTTTTGTATGACAACAATGTTTAATTATATTAATAGGTATACTTAACATGTTATTAATCATTAGTACTAAATTAATTGGATAAACAATTTAGATTTTTGGAAGTTTTGAGAATCACATGAGTAGGCTATAATACTAATAAAACATAAATAGAAAACCAATTCACCGAATTCCAAATTCTATCAAATATCCATAAATTTCTTACTCTCCCTCAGTGACGTGGTGAAGATAACTTTTTGAGGCCTGTACCTCAACATAAATGGGTGGGTATACTGATGTGAGGCCATAAGAATAATATGAGATTGCATAGACTTGTCGTAATAGAAAATTAAATGTTAACAAATAACAAACCGTTGAGAAGATAGTGGACTTGTAAATTATACAGTTTGTACTTATAAAAGTGGTGGTGGTGGTGGTGGTAGTAAAAATTAAAATGTATTGGACCTCACATACAAAAAATGTTCTACACGCCACTGCTCTTCCTTATATAACAACCAAATCGGTATACATTAAATTTCAAGTATGTAATAACGAATTTAAACTTCTATTACAAATTCTTATTGAATCATTAAGTAGATCGAAACAATAATAAACAATTACACAATTTGTTGAAAAATAACACCTGTTTAGTGGCATGATTCTTAGTTAATACATGTGCGTGTAAAAGGCGGGAACATGAAATAAACACGCAGATTACTCCGCCTAGCTTGAAGCTGCACACACTAATAATAATTTATAATAGGTAAACTCACGCACACGCACTCACGTGGGTTATATAGTCTCTAATTAACACCTTTAATATGGTGTGGCATTCGTACACCATCATACCCCAAAAACTAAATTAATTTTTAATGGTCGCAAGTCACCATATTTATTTTGATAAACAAACTCGATTTTCCAAACTTTCTAGACTGCTCGAGTGCACAACGAGAATATCGACAAAGGGTTAAGCAGTTGAACTACTTGAACTTAGTTCGTTTTTCAAGACCTCAGTAAGATCTAAATATTTTTTTTGCTAAACTGAGAATATAAAATGTAAAAGTAAAAAGCAGGTAAGTGGATGTCGCTCTGCTGTACAGTAGATTACAAGTGCGTCAATGTATAATGGATTGTATTAAACTTGAATTCAATGATATTTTATCATTGTATAAGAAAATTGAAAACCGATTCTGAGCGGAAACGGTTTGTCAGTCTAGATATTTTATATTGTAATTAATTATTATACCATGTAAGTTGAATTAATATTATAATAGGTATTATTATTTTTTATTCGTTTCTGTGGTAATAAACAAATCGTTAGAAATTAAAATCCAATTTTTAGCGGTTTTTCGTAATTTTTTGGTGGTTTTTACCGTGGCATTAAATAACTATTGATAAAATCGAAAAATTACCTCTCTAAAGTACCATCTTGATCCAATTTGGTAAAAGATAAGATACTATATGTGGAAATCGAAGGATTCCTTCTGGTAGACATTTTGTATACAGAATATAAAAAATAAATAAATAATAAACACCATTGTAAAACCACTAGCTTCCTCGCTCCGCTTAGAATCTAAAATATTACACATGAGTTAAGATTGTACTGCGCTAAAGCCTAAAATTCTATACCTACCAAGAATTATAAATTAGCTTTAACACATATTTTAAATTGTAAGTATTTTTGTATCATACTTACTCTTGCGTCTTGCTTAATTTCTTGTAAATTATATTACCGCGGTACACCAGACACATGTACCTACCTTCTATTCGCAAATCTAACTATAGGTTCTATATCCGCTGCTTTTTCTCCTATTACCGCCAAGCTTCCAGTATTTCTGCTAGTAGGTACTGATCTCTAACATTCCTTGAGCCACTACGTCACCTTCAAGCACGCAAGTCTTGTGGACAACCCGCCAAAACAGGCAGATTAACAAACCACGAGACCTTGGCGGATTGGAGCCTCATGGGGTTTTTACCTAATACTTAAGTGAAAGGTGAAGGGAAATTACTCAAATTAGGGAATAAACATAAATCATAATAATTCGTGTTCGTGGTTGGACAAAGAAAAAAATTTAAATGTGGGTACTTGATATACATAGGTATATTTTATATCTATGCTGCTCGAATTCGAGTTATTCTCTGGGCTAGAGTTTGGCAGGTGTACAACTCTAAAAATCCAAACACTAATTGCAAATTAAAAATAAAACTATTGTTATAACTGTAAAAATAAAACACGGTGGACAGCGTCATATACGATGGCCAAGTATAGCTATATAAACACTATTTTACTCAAATATGTCAAGACCATCATCATCAATATAATAACTTAAGGTGCCTACATAACTTTAGGTACAGAGGTCCCTCTGGTTAAATAAAGGTGGAATTTAAACAGCCTGTTATTAATTATTAGTTATAGGTTTACTGAATAGTCAATAGTCATCTTATAGACAATTAATAATATCAAAATAATAATAATAATAATAAATTATCATGTATTAGATAAGGGTATGAATAAAAAAAAGTAGGTAATGGAGACCAAATGAACAGCCTCTACACACGATGTAGGGGCTGATTAGAAACTTGTGTAACAAAATTGGGGGAGTATCTCCACCATTTTTGTAACACGAATTTGTGTTCACCTCAATTATATAATATTTCTATAAAACGGATTCGGGACGTACCTAATAGTCATTTGCTATGACTTAAAATATGTTTTTATATTATATTATAATTTAAAATTTTATATTACCTCATGAAGTGGCCCGCCAGCGCTGCGCACGCCACGGGTGTAGAAGACGGCGTTCTACTCCATCTTTACGAAGCTGTACAACTTGGCAGTAAAAATGTTAGGTGGCACCTGGAAGAGTGACACGCGTGAACAGTGTAAACGAGATGAAAATAAATAACGGAAATACTTTCCAGAATGCGCCTGTTTCTGCGGCTAAACCATAAGAAAGAAAACGGAGAGAGATAGAGAGAAGGCGAGAGAGAGCGTTACTGCAGCAACAGTCGGGCGGAAGGAAAAACAGACCATAATGCAGAATGCATTAAGCATTATAGTGGAAAGGGAAATTATAGATTGTGGCCGGGGCCAGAGAGCAAGTACATAATATTTTAAAGTATACATGTATAAAATAATAATAGTAATAATAATCTTAAAAGTAATTATTACGGTGGCGGCAATGGCGGTTTCGATATGGTGAAACTCGCACCATATAATAATATAATGTGTCGATGATAATATGATATTATACGGCATTGGCATTCGGTGCGGGTATAATACATAATCAGCCGACGTTGTTCGCAGCGGGCTAACAAGGCGACGACATTATACGTACCTACTTCTATGCAAGACTATAACCATAGGTACTTGTTATAGCCTATAGGTACCTACATTTGAAAGGTTTTTTTGTATTAACATTAAATATTAAACGGGTACTAAAATAATTTAAAATATAGTTTTATGGTAAATTCTATAGATATAATATTGTGTCAGTTAACTTTGCCACTCCAGTCCTCCACTGGATAATAAAACATTTATACTTATTCATCACATAACATACAAGATTCATATAATACTTATGGTTATGGTTATGTATACACCAAAACTCACCAATAGACAAATAATTTTGGTCCTGAAGAGCTCTGAAGTAACCTATAGGTAAGTATTTAAAAATATTTTTAATGTATTTATATTAATTGTATTTAAATACTCGTTAGAAATATTAAAACACCTCATCCACAGTCCAAGTATAACGACAGACTTAATGCGCAATTTCGATAGAATATTAAATACGCGTATCAATCATGGCCTATTTACATAATCATATCTGTTATTACTTATTTATTTATTATATTAAGTTGACATTGATTAAAATAAAGAAATTCGTAATATATTTTTTGTTTAAACATTTGAATAGGTAGGTAGTTTGTAATAAATAATAATCGAAAAACGTAGAACTGTAATAATAATTATATTGTTCCACTTGTCATGTTTTCAGCTTTAAATATATACTGAACATGAAACTCCACGAGCTTACATGTATGATAATACCTAGTACTGTGAAATAATTAAAAATTAAAAATCACAATTAATAAATAATTATAATGCATTCTTTTAATACCTACCTACGTGTTCACACAATATTTTATAATCTTGCTTTTCTACAGGTTTAGACAAATTATTTAAATACTCACTAAAATTAGAAGGTACAGTTATCTACTACATGCTGTATATTGCAGTTATAACTATTACCGCAGCATAGTAGGTACTACTGTGGGTATAATAAGCAGGTTGTAATGTACTTTTCGTTATTTATAATAATATAGGATAGTAGTGTAGTTATCTTGACTGGGATAAATCCAAGAAAATTTTTAAAATTGAAATGTGTTCTACTCTACTTTTAACAATATTGAGGAATATATACTTATCATTAATTCAACTCTCCAATAGCAAGTATTTGATGTGTAATTATTTACTAGAGAGAAGAAAATAATATGTAGTATTTAGTTTATGATTTTTTTAACTTTATGTAATACAAATTTTATTTGCAAATA